TCCTTTTTATTCCTTAAGAGAAAACTTCTAGAATAAAATAACTATGCCTTTTGTATAAACTTACAACAATCTGCAAATAGGTAAGAAAGCATGCCTGAATTTCCTTTTTTCTTTTATATAATATTGTCTTCTGCTTGTTTTTCAATGGAAGTAGTAATGAGCAACAAAACAGATTGAAGGGGAAATATAATTGAAAAAGAGAAGAAAAGACAAAACCTAACTGCATCTAGCGTTTTTTGAATTTTAGGAATTGGGATGCCAAGAGCCTGCACTCTCTTATTTCTGTTTATAGAGAGGGAAAGGTAGAGAGGTGTCTGATGATGAAAGCAAGAGATAGCAAATCCCCTTACATAAAAGCATTTCCTTCACATATTCTAATAATTCATTAGAAATATCAACAGTTTAATGATCTTTAAAAAAATGTAAATAATTCTTGGGAAGACTTAACTTTCAGTGCCTTATCTTACTATATTCACAAAGAACAAAGACAAAATCTCATCTCTATAAAGAAGCTATGATCTACAAGGACCCGGATGATATATATTCAAACAACTACAACGCAAAGCAAAGGCTGTAAGACAACCGGACCTACTTCATAGGGGCTAGGGACAGTATTAACAGTCTTGGGGAATATTATGCATGTTTTAAGGAAGGGATGAGTCTTGAAAGAGTGGGGAATCCCAATGAAGCTGATGTAAAGCATATACGGAGCATGTATGGAGAACACGCCTGGTCTGGATGAAGCACAAGGTATATGACAGAGAACAGCTGGAGATACAACTGAAAAAACAGAATGCGTAAGGATCATAAAACTCTGCAAATGCCAGCAATGACATTATATTACTATGAATCAATACCAGAATATGAATAAACAGAATCTGAATAAATGACGTATTATTCTGCAAACAAAGGGGAAAGCCATGATCACAGCAACACTTCTGTAAATATTTAGTAAATACCCATGTCTTGTTGATATAAAGGTGAATAGGACCAATGGCTCTTCAGCTTTCAGAAGTATGTTGGTCCTGGCTGTTTGCCTTGAAATCTATTCTTTCTCCTTCCCCTGCTCTGCACTGTAGGACAGGAAACCAAACCCCATGCAGGCAATTTCCTAGCCTACTCATCAGCTAGCTTCTGGCTGGGTTCGATCAATGGGAAGCACCAGTGGGAAGGCAATCAGAAGGAGCCACGTTTCTTCCCTCCCATTTCGTCTTTGCCCTGGTAGAGTCTCCTCTAATACTGCTCCATCATGAGACAAGTCTACCTTCCAGCTTCCCCACAGTGAAACAAGCCTCTGGGTTGCTTCATCTCTCCTTGTCCTCCTGATTATCACAGTGGCTTCCTACTGTTGCTACCCTCTGAACTGGCTCATGTAAGTTGCTTGTCTTATTAGCTTTTATATCACCAGTGTAACCAATTCCCTCATTAAATCCCTCCATGTTAAATACACAGATTAGTTTCAGTTTTCCTGAACGGATGCTGACTCACACAGAAAGGAAAAAAACCTACTTAGTAATCTAAAGAAAGTTCTGGATACTTTACCCATAACAAATGCTCCACCTGCACATAAACCTTTACAGATAGTCTGGGCGCTCTCAGAACTCTTGAAGCCTGTCTATTAACCCCAGATTAAGAATACTGAATAGGACAAAAAGGTAAGTTTCAATTTTGAGAAGATGAAGTTCTACAGGTGAATGATGGTGATGGTTACAGAACAAAGTGACTTTACTTAATGCCACAAAACTGTAAAAGTGGCTAAAATGGTAAAATTCCATTGTTTTATTTTACCAAAAAAAAGTATGTAAACACACAGCTATAATAAAACATGGTAAGGGTATGACAGAAGTAATCTACAAAGCCATGGGAGCATTTAAGGATAAAAGTACTAACTGTACCTGTTGGGAAAAGTTTCAGTGATTACATTTGACCTGAACCTTGAATTCAAGTGTACTAGGAAAATGCAGAAAAACACTGCAGGCAGAGGGGAAAGAATACATAAAAAGAATATTTGGAGAAACTGCAAGCAGTTTGGTATGCTGGGAGCAGAGGGCAGATGTTGAGCTGAGATCAAGCAGGAGAGGTCGGCAGGATCAGTTCCACAGAGTATAGTGTACGACACACTGATAAAAACAAAACTGGTGGCCCAGGGGCAACAAACAATGCTTTGATGTATTTTGGCATAAGAATTTAAAGGAATTCCAGCAAGGCAACAGCTGGATGGAGCTGAGTAGCAAGGGCTGTTTAAGGGGAGTAGTGAGGTACAAAAGTCAGTGCAGTATGTTGAAGAGTGAAAGGTAAGTGAGGAAGCAGAGTAACTAAGGAGAACTCATTGTTCTTTTTATAAATTTGACTTGTGAAAGGGCAACATAGAGCACTAGACAAAATGTGAGGCAGGGTCTAGGAAAGTGTTTTGGTGTGTATGGGTAAGGGTAAAAAAACCTAATTATGTAAACTCTAAGGGGAGAACTTCTCTATTCTTAGCATTTGGCATAGTGCCTGGAACATACTAAGCACCCAAAGGTTTGCTGAAAGAACATAATGAAGAAAAGGGGCCAACGATGAGAACGGCTGAAGATTGGGAGGGGACTGACAGGAGAAGAATAATAAACAGATAATAAAACTGTTAATGTTTTAAGCCATTAAGTTTCGCCATCACAGATCTCTGCTGATACGATAATGCTAAATGAAAGAAGCTGTAGGATGCGTGTGAGATTTGGGGTTTTTTTGGATATTATATTCTTTTGCACAACTTGAAATTTTTGGTAGTGCACAACTTTTTCAACTTTCAGAAAAGGAGGAATAGTGTGAATTCTTTAGACAGATTTTTCTAACAGTTAATAATATGAATTTGAAGACTATATGAGAAGCCATGACAACAGTCCAAAAGAGAAGTAAATGGGAGGCACATTACTAGGATTCGTGGCAATGAAAATTACAATGTGAATGACAAACAAGAATTTTAGGATAAGAAACAATAGCTCTGTAGTTTATATCCATTAAAAAAAAAAGGACATCTAGGAGAGCAGCTGTTTTGTGGAGAATAAATATTCATAAGTTTGGTGTAAATGACTCCAGTTAGAAAATCATTCTGATTTCTTAAGACCAGTGGTTTTTGCCCTCCAGGGAACATACTGGCAATACCTGGACATTTTTTTGCTGTTGTTGTCACTACTGGGTGGGAGTGGGGTTTGGGGTCCTACTTGTATCTAATGCATAGAGGCCAGGGATGCTGCTAAACATTCCACAATGCACAGGACAGCTCCCTGTAATAGATGGCTTTAATTGCATAAATAAATAAATGGCCTTAAATGTCAACAGCGCTGAGGGTGAGAAACCCTGTTGGAGACTACAGTTACTGAAACTCAACTGGATTACCAAACAGTCAAAACTCAAAAATTCTTGAGCAATCTGCATGGAGGGAGAAATTAAGCATGTCAGTGTTACCGTGAACTTTGTGAAAGTCTACTTTGGATCTGTTTACATATAAGCCTAATTAATACAATAATTACAAGATAGCCAGCTTTTTCTCCGATATAGATGTAGGTTAACTATTGATATTCAGTTCTGATAAAGCGAGCAAAAGATTAAAAAGATTAACAGAACATTAACAAAATATTAATTTAAACGGAAATCATTATTTTCTCCAAAAACAGGTGGTGAAACCATTACCCTCTAATGTTGTCTACAAAATGTGCTTATCAAGAGCCTGTGTACAAAAGCCATTTTTTTGAACAGGGCTGAGTACTTAAAAAAACATAAGACAAATAGGTTTTTCTGACAATGAAATAATGGTAGTAATGGCCATGGATACCAGGGGAAGTTTCATCACAGATGTTTACCATTTACCATTCACATATGTCTGTAAATCACTGGCTCGGGTTCTGAGCTTTACGTGGCTCTCATTCCCAGCAGTACAATCCTCTTTATTCTTTCAGTGGACAAACAACAAAACCCGTTTCCCACACAGACAATACATGCTGACAACTGACCGTGGAACTAACTCTTTCCAAACTGAGGAAAAGCTAACCAGGACTAGAAAATGTTCAATTGGACGGCATTTCCCCTGTGAAAATTCTTGCTAATCAAAAGAACCGGAACTGCTTCTGTTTTAAAGTATGCAATTAGCGTTTCAAACCTCTACAACGGACGACTTCTTGCGGTAGGGTGGGGAGAGAGAAGATCACCTCATTTGTCCCAAATTCGTAGTTTTAAGAACGAGTTACGAGAAGGGCGACAAGAAGGTCCTTCTACAAAGCTGGGTGGCTGAGGAAGTCCTTATTTTTTCCTAATTTGGCCCCAGCTCTGACAAGGGAAAGTGCGCCCAAGGCTGAAGAAGACGCAGCCCGTCCATCACGCAGGAAACTCTCCTGAAGGGGTCCCAGTTAAGTGTGCAGGCCTGACTCTCCCTCCGAATCCGGGCCTCAGGTGTTCCACCGCGAGCTTCTCTTCAGTCTCCCCTCGCCCCGCAGCCTCGGAGGACAGGGGCGTCCACGTACAAAGAACCTTAAATTGCCCGAGCCTCCGAATGAAGAAGACGCACCGCCAGTGTGAACTTGCAGGCGGGGAGGCAAAACCCCGAAGCTTCCCTACCCTGGTAAAGCCTTTGGGCCGCAAAGGTCCTTCCGTCCTGCTCAGCCTGGCCCAGTATCCCTCCCTCCCGCGTCCGCACTTACCCAGTACCAGCCGCGCCACGTCCGAAGGCAACAACATGATCGAAGCCGCAGAAGGAGCCGCAGTAAGAGACGAGACTCATGTAAAAGCCAACGCAGCGACAGCTCCTGCGCCGCATCTCACGGTTCCAGCGGCGGCACTGAACCCGCGGCAATTTGTCCCGCCCCTTTCGCTCCACGCCAGCCAATCGCTTCCGCGGGAGAGAGAAAGGCGCCGAAATGAAACCCGCCTCCGGTCTCCTCGGAACAGTCGTCACATCCGGCCTGACATTTGAGGGGTGGGGCTGAAGGGGGCGAGGAGGCGGGGCGAGAACGCCGGTGGGGCAAGCGGCGGACGCAGGGTCGCACGCCATTGGCGGGCAGGGCGCAGGCTCATTTGCTCAGACCGCCCCGATGTTTTGGGGAGCGAGGGCAGGTGGCGGAGAGCGTGCGCTGTTCGTGCGCATGGGCAGATGGTGTCTTGGGGGGCCCATCAGCTTTACTGCTTCCTCGCGAGACAGACGCTGCGCGGTCACGCCAGGTTTGACCCGGAGCGGGAATAGCGCGTGGACCTGCCAGTCGGGCGGCCGAGGAGGCGAGTGGAGCGCGGCTTTAGGCTG